AACCCCTAATTGTTGATCTTCATTACAAAAGGCTTTAATTCTGACCCTAAATCTACATCTATGCAAAAAAAAAAAAAAAAAAAAAGGGCAAGATGAAAAAACTGCAACCAACTTCAGACTGCTGTCATTTCTAAGCCACTCGTCCGACAGCTGTTAAAATTATTCCAGTGACAGCTCGTTATATTGTTAACAAGCATACATCAGCATTTTGGTGAGAGTTTTCCAGAAAAATAGTTATTCGTAATGGAATTCAAGCGTTATAGTGTGATTTCTTTATATTTGGCTGGAAAACCACAAGTGGCTATCGTTGAGCACTGCAGCATTCAAATATGAATAAATCTTTTGGGTCTCCTACCAACGCTCCTTACCCTGATACTGGTAGCGCAGCCCGACGTCAAGGAAGTGGACGGAAGAAAACATCAGCAGAAATGGTTAGAAAAGTAAATAAGCGACTTAATCGGAAACCTCGTCGCTGTGGCCGAAAAATGGCTCGTGAGCTGAACATATCGCAATATTCCATTCGGCAAATATTGAAAAATGAGCTCGGGGTAAAGCCATTGAAATTCCAAAAAGGGCAAGAACTTACACCTCAACAAAAAGAAAATGGACTCAAAAAAGCTAAAGAGTTGCTTCGCTTGGCCGAAAGTGGTGAACTGCCGAATTTGGTTTTCTTCGATGAGAAAACATTCGTTGTCCAGCAGTGAGGATCGGAAGATAAATGTGACCTATATATGTATTACCTTCAGCACAGAGTGTTGGGGTGTGGAAAAACTTTAAAAATTTACAATTTAAAATTGTAAGTCAAATTGAAAAAATCGCATGCGATAAAATATATGACAGGGATTGAAAAAAATGTAACAAAAAATATTCACTTTTTTATTGGCACATTTCTACGCGGTTTTCTTTGATGTTATCCTTTTCTGGCAGGAGACCATTCCGAATTGATGAGAATTGTGAAAATCAGCCCAGCGGTTCTTGACTTATCAGCGATCTAACTCACATTCCCTTCTTTGATATATGAGATTGAATATAGTGATATTTCCGTGTATTTGTGATAAGGATAATAAAAAATGTGACAGCATAAAAAATATTCGCCGTTTAGTGGAAAATTTCGTATTTTTTGCAACAAAAGTTATGGTCTATTTTTATTTTTAAATGTGGTCCGAGGTCCATCCAAATTTGTACGCTTCTGCCCAGTCCTAAACTCTAACTCCATGCAAAATTCCGTGCCAATTGGTCTATAATTGTGGCCTGTAGAGCAACTGCAAAATCGAGTATTTTTTCTGCTTTTGGTCCATTTCAAACCCTAAATATTTTACGATCATCTCCAAAAACAACAGGGTTCTTTTCTGACCATAACCCTACCTCCGTTTTGAATTTCGTGAAAATCGGGCCATAATTGTGACCTGTAGCTTGATTACAAATTAACATGGACAGACGGACGGACATACATACCTAGATCGACTCAGCTTGGCGAGCTCAGAAGATCCTTATATACTATCCTATGTGGGAAACCAATATTTCGAGGTGTTACATAAATTCTGGCCCAATCAAACTTATAATACCCCAACACATAGTGTTGTAGGCTATAAAAACATTCAACATTTTCTATTTGAGAAAATAAGCTCCTCTCAGAGCATGAGCGACATCTATTGAAGCACTTTTTTCGAAGATAACAAATTCTATACCTATATTTTTGGACCAATCAAACTTATAATATCCCCTACACATATTGTAGTAGGGTATAAAAATTCTTCTAACCAAATTTTTTAATTTTCACATAATCCATGTGGCGATGAAGATCGCTTTTAAAAGTCCTTGGATCATTCGCCAAACTAAATGACTGCAATTTAAAATTTTCAAATCTAAATAAATACAAAAATTAGAGTCCAGTTTGGGAATGACCTCTGTAGACCACTATTTTCCGGTCTTAGAACATCTGTAGATAACAAAAACCTTTAAATGAATTTTATTTTTATTAAAGTCATCCCATAGTGGAGGATATGAAAAAGTTCAGTTTGGCCAACTTGTTGTTAAACATTTACTTTTTTCATTATTATATTGCGTTTGGAGATTTAGCTTAGACCTGCAGATATTGAAGAAAAATTCCCACTTTGAATAGTATAAACCAATGTCAATTACTATTGCGTTTATTTATTCATTATTTTCAAAACTTGTCACTACAATCACAGTTCCAATTTTGTTAGATGAGTTATCACAGGGATATTCTATTTGGAGCGTTTTTAGAAAAACAAACCTTGCATTTTTTAATCTTGAAATGCTGGTTTTGAAATGTCACTATAAATTTCAAACACAGAATTTACGAATTATTTTCACATATTTTTTTTTCATATTAATGCCATACATTTTTGCAGGGATTTCAAATCAGAAAAATCCGAAATATAATTGAAAAATGCAGTTTAGACCTGCAAACATTGTAAAAAAAATTCCCACATTGAATACTGTAAACCGACGCCAATTTTTATTGCTTTTGGAAATTATACACATTCTTTGACTTTTCACTACAATCACAGGTCCCATTTTGTCAAGTGAGTTATCTGAGAAATATTCTATTTGGAGTGTTAAAAAAAACAATTCTTCAAATTTATTTCGTATGGAACTGCAGTTATTGAAATTCGCTCTAAATCACATACACACAATTTTCGAATTATTTTGCATTTTTTTCAATTTATAACCATAAATTCTAAAATCTAAAATTTGCAAAAATCCTACATTTAGGTTAGACCTATTATTATTGCGTTTGGAAAATATATATTCTCTGATTATTTTCGAAACTTCTCACTTCAATCACATTCCCCATTTTTTAAAGGAATTATCTCAGGGATATTCTATTTGGAGTGTTTTTACAAAAACAATCCTTATTTTTATTTTTCAAGATTAGAAATGTAGGTCTTGCGAGGTCACTATTTTCTACATATATATATATTTTTTTATTTTATTATTATAAATATTTGCAGGTATTGCAGATCTGAAAAATATTCGTTGATAATTTTCGAAACTTCTCACTCACTACAGGTCCCATTTTGTTATGTGAATTATCTCCAGGATATTCTATTTGGAGTGTTTTTAAGAAATCAATCCTTTTATGAATCTTGAAATGCAGGTTTTGCGAGGTAATTATAAACTTCAAACACAGAATTCACGAATTATTTTTTTTTTCATATTTTTTTTTTTTTTTTCAATTTATTGCCATAAATTATTGCAGAAATTTGAAATCTGCAAAAAAGTAGATTTAATTGAAAATTTTAGAAAATTTAGAACTACAGACATTGTAGAAACATTCCCATATTGAATACTATAAACCGACGCAATTATTATTGCGTTTGGGAAATTTTTATTTCTTCATTATTTTCGAAACGTGTCACCAGAATCACATTCCCCACTTTTTTAAGAGAGTTATCTCAGGGATATTCGTTTTGGAGTGTTTAAAAAAGAACAATTCTTTAAATTTATTTCGTATGGAACTGCAGGTTTGGAGTGGGATATTCTATTTGAAATGTTTTTAAGAAAACAATCCTTGTTTTTTCAGGATTAGAAATGCAGGTCTTGCGAGGTCACTATTTTCTACATATATATTTTTTTTTCATTTTATTGTTATAAATTCTTGCAGGTATTGCAGATCTGAAAAATATTCTTTGATAATTTTCGAAACTTCTCACTCACTACAGGTCCCATTTTGTTATGTGAAGTATCTCAGGAATATTATATTTGGAGTGTTTTTAAGAAATAAATCCTTTTATGAATCTTGAAATGCAGGTTTTGCGAGGACTATAAATTTTAAACACAGAATTTACGAATTATTTAATTTTCTTATTTTTTTTTTTCAATTTATTGCCATAAATTTCTGCTGGGATTTGAAATCTGCAAAAACGTAGATTTAATTGAAAATTTTAGAAAATTTAGAATTGCAGACATTGTAGAAAAATTCCCATATTGAATACTATAAACCGACGCCAATTATTATTGCTTTTTGAAATTATACATATTCTTTCATAATTTTCGAAGCTTGTCACAACAATCACAGGTCCCATGCCGTTAAGTGAGCTATATCAGGGATATTCTATTTGGAGTGTTAAAAAAAACAATCCTTGATTTTTTTTATTCTTGAAATGCAGGTTTTGAAAGATCACCATAAATTTCAAACACAAAGTTTTCGAATTATTTTTTACATATTTTTATTCTTTTTATATATTTTTACAGGGATCTCAAATCTACAAAATCGTAAAAATAACCGAAAAATTCAGCTTAGAAAGACATTGAGAAAAATTCCAGCTTTGAGTAGCATAAACCGAGTTATTTTAAACTCTTAGCACAGATAGAGACTTTTTAGAGACACCATTTGAAAGAGCAAAAAGCCAAACAAATTGGCAATTTATGTGATTTCTTATTCAGAAAAATGCGGTATATTATTATTATCACTACCGAGCACTAATCGCAAGAAAACTATTTCCAGTACAAGAAAATATTTGACTTCAAACTAGTATTTGAATTAAATAAATTACAATTCCAATCAATTTGTTTTCCATTCATAGTGAGGCCGCATAGAAGTTGATATATTCCACAAAACGTATGTAATATCAGAATACGGTAATTTTCAAATAACCGCTAAAATTTTCTATCAAATTTTCATTTTTCACAATGAAAACGACCTCACATAACATCACTCACTCATTTCTCATTTTTTTCTTCTCACAAGCACTTCACAGTACCGTAGGCAGTTTGTGTCTTAAGTCTTTTGTTTTTACACACACAACACCAAAACAATCCATTGATTTACTTTTGCAATATTCGTTTCTATTTTTTTACTGAGCAAATTCATATCGAGGACCACATTTTCAATTCCCTTTGCTGGATATTTTGTGAAAATCTTAATTGTCACCTTATATGTCACGCTTTGCATACACTTAAATAGACAATTTTGCTATTGTTGCTGTTGTTGTTTTTTTGTTGGCTTTTAGACACTATAAAATAAACTTTACCTTCTTTTTTTTCGTTTTATTTGTTGTAAGGCTGTTGTTTAGCTGGCACTACATTTTTTTTCGCAAATTTCGTTGTTCTGCCTGGCCGTGTTGATGGTGGTTTGGGGGGAGGAATTTTCTCGCAAAACAAAAATTGATTGTATTCCTTTTGTAGATTTGTTTGCTGTTGTATTTGTATTATTTTTCCAATTTTTCCCCAGCCAGAAAGCCAGTAACGTGCAGAGCAGAGAAAAAAAAACAAAATCAAGCAAACCAAACAAACAAACACTGAATATAAACACCAAACTTGCTGGCAACTTTTAGTTGTTTAAAGTTGTTTTTGTTGCTGGATATATATATTTTTTCTTTATTTTTTTGTTGTTGCTATATTTCACTGTGTGTAGAGCGTTAAGAACCCGTTTGACTCGTTGAAAAATATTTCTTTTCGCCTTTTAATTTTTTTTTTGCTTTTTCTTAACTTTTTTTCTTAGGCTCTGTTGGTTTGGTGTTGTTGTGGCTGGATGGCTGGCTGGCTAGCTGGATGGATTGCTGGCTGGCTGGCTGGTTGGTTGGTTTGTTTGCTGGCAGGATTTCTGGCTATTGTAGAAGCTATAATTTTTGTTGTATATATTTTGCTATAAATATTTTCGCTTGAAGATTTTTGTTGCAATTTTCCACAAAAAAAAATTATTTTCTTTTTCTATTTGTTTACACTTTAAATTTTATAAATTTGAATATATTTTTGCAATATTTTCCAACATTTTCAAATATTTTCATTGCATGTAATTATCAATTTTTTAATCATAATCACCTTCAACAATTTCTTTCATTTACAATTTTATTCCACTTGGAATTTTCGAACTCTATTCTTTAACCTTTTCTTATTCTCTTCAAAAATTTTCTTTATTTTTATCCAATTGGCATTGCTTCTTCAGAACTTCTTCTTTTTCTCAAAAGCGCATCTTGGCTTTTTTTGGCAAAACAGAATTATTGACACTCACTGTCATCATCAGTTGTTGATGAAAAAACGCGCTTTTCCGTCTAAAACCGTTCGTGCAGCGGTAATGTGTTATCGTTTTCGTTCACTTCGTAATCTAAAATTTTGTTCGAAATCCGTCTTTCTGTGATATTGTAACGCAAAAGCACACGAAGAACTAAATTTTACATTTTCTACCTGAGCATGCCATACCTGGTAAAAATGCTCCAAGCAAGTGTGGTGACATTCGGCAAGCGAACATAACAACATTCACAACAAACAACAAACATGGGCGAGCGAGCACAAACCCTCACACACACACACGGAGCATAAATGACCCCAGAGAGCCACCAAGGAGTTGGCTCAATGCAAAACTTCACCACCACTACTAACAATACCCCATAAAGGCCATTTGATCATTGGGAGATACCAAAAGACAACACCACTCAACCGCCTAAATAACCTGTGACCATCCATCCAGCAAGCCAGCCAGTCAGCCATCCATCGATCTCAACCATTCTTTTGCTCTGCTGCCACCACGAAACATCAGTCCAATCCAACACACTGAGAGTCCAATAAGAGCCAGTATGAGAGAGAGAGAGCGAGTTCGAGAGCATCCCATAGAGACCATTTTCATCAACATGCTGCCTATTAGTAACATGAGAAGATGAACCCCACAATGCCAACAATAGCAACAACTACAACAACAATAATAACACAAAAACCGATAACAGCAAAAACAGTGTACTACCAAATCGGGAGAGCAAATATATTTAAGGAGCAAAATAACAGCAACAACAAAATACAATAAGAATCATTTGAAGAAAATTATACAAACAAAAATGTGCACATCAAAATACACGGAGAGAAAAAAACATGCAATTTTAATTGAATTAAAAAACAAGTTAAAAGGTATCAGTGGGCTTTGCCGACAGATGTATAACCTCAGATTGTATGCCCTCCGTTTGAAGACCTAAATTTACATCTCCTACTGTTATGGGCATTAATTCCGACCCTAACACTACCCCCATGCAAAATTTTTTGAGGATAGGACACTAATTACGACCTGTATATAATGCCATAGTGTTGGGGGGGTGGAGAAAAACTTTAGAAAATGTACAGTCCAAATTTTAAGTTAGGATGAAAAAACCGCATGCGATAAAAAATATGACAAAAATTTAAAAAAAAAAATGTAACAAAAAATATTCACCCTTTCGGAACCAAATTTTCAAGATTATATCTTTAGCCCTTAAAAAAATATTTTTAAAAAATCCACGCCTATTGATGGCCCATGAAAAAAAATTAAAAAAACCACGCCTATTGATGGCCCATGAAAAAAAATTAAAAAAAAACACGCCTATTGATGGCCCATGAAAAAATTAAAAAAAAACACGCCTATTGATGGCCCATGAAAAAAAAATTAAAAAAATCCACGCCTATTTATGGCCCATGAAAAAAAATTAAAAAAATCCACGCCTATTGATGGCCCATGAAAAAAAATTAAAAATCCACGCCTTTCGATGGGCCACGAAAAAAAAAATAAAAAATACAAGCCTTTTGATGGGCCACGAAAAAAAAAATAAAAAATACATTCCTATTGAAGAAAAATCCAAGCCTATTGATGACCCTTGAAAAATATTAAAAAAAAAATCCTAACCTATTGATGGCCCTTGAAAAAATATTTTTAAAAAATACATGCCAATTGATGGCCCTTGAAAATTTTTTTTAAAAAAATCCACGCTTATTGATGGGCCTTAAAAAATATTTTTAAAAAATCCACGCCTATTGATGGCCCTTAAAAAATATTTTTTAAAAAAGTCCACGCCTATTGATGGCCATTGAAAATATATTTTTAAAAAAATCCACGCCAATTGATGGCCTTTGACAAATATTTTTAAAAAAATCCAAGCCTATTGATGGTCATTGAAAAAAAAATTAAAAAATCCGCCCCTCGATGGCCCTTAAAAAATATTTTTAAATAAATCCGCACCTATTTATGGCCCTTAAAAAATGTTTTTTATTGGCATATTTTTACGTGATTTTCTTCGATTTTTTTTCTGGCAAGAGACCATTCCGAACTGTGAAAATTAGTTCACCAGTTCTTGACTTATAAGCGGTCTAACTAACATCCTCTTCTTTAATATACGAGACTGTATATATTTTGCTATATTTTCGATGTCTTGGATAGGAGCATCAACGTAACTGTCAGAAGTGTAACTTTCGTGTATTTGTGATTTCGCCAGGATTAAAGATATTGGCGGTTTAGTGGAAATTTTCGTATTTTTTATATAAAAGTTGTGGTATAGTTTACCCGCTCAATATTGCCTGATAACTATCCAAATTGGTAAGCATCTGTCCAGCCCTAAACTCTAACTACATAATTTTGCATGGCCTGTGGCCTGTAGAGCAACTGCAAAATCAAGATTGGTTACTGTTTTTATTGTTTTTCCTTAAACAATAGGGTTCTATTCTGAGCGCAACCCCACCTCAATTTTCACTTTCGTGAGGATCGAGCCATAATTGCGACCTGTGGGGTGATTACAAATTAACATGGACAGACGGACCGACGGACATACATAGCTCGATCGACTTAGCTCGGCGAGATAGGAAGATCCATATTTACTTTCCTATGTGGGAAATAAATATTGGTATGGGTAAAATTACAAGAAAGACGAACATTTATGTCCAATTTTATGCGAAATCCTTAATTCCATATTCATCTGAGGTTTCTGGTTGAGAGAAATATTTAGATATAGCAAGTTGTAAAGAATCGCTGACTTGTTTCGCATGTTATGACAGATAAAAGTATTGAAAATTGTGAGCCTTTTGCGGATGAGGTACTTGAAGCGGTTCGTAAATATATATCATCTTAGAAACATATCATGTTTTAGCAAAATCATTTGTATGTGTGAAATTTTAAGAGGGATTTGGAGGATTATTTTAATTTTTTGAGAATTTTATTTCTTTTTTTTTAAATTTTCAACCCTATGTGGGGGAGGTATAAGAAGAAATGCTCCTATCTCTACCATCTTCATAACAGATCTTGTGTTGATCGAAATATTGAGATGTGCCAAGTCTGATTGAAATCGAATGTTAATTTCGCGTTTTATGAGCTTCATGGATATTCAAAATGTTGACTCCCTGTGGTGGAGATAACAGAAGGAGTGGACCAAAATATTCTATATTTACACCAGACCTTAGGTTAATAAAAATATTGTGATGTAATTTGAAAACAATCGGACTCTAACATTTACATTTAAAAAGAGGTATAATTATTCAAAATGTTGATCCTTTGTGGGGGAGGTACTTGATGGAGTGGACCGATATTGTTCATTTTCGCACCTGACAGAGAACTGATATAAATATCAAGATTTGCAGAGTTTGAACAAAATCGGAGAATATTTCCTGTCTCTATGAGGGCAGTTATTTTCTTTGAAAATTTTGACCTTTTGTGTGGAAGGTAATAGAAGGTGTACACCCATATTGACCATCTTCGAACTCAATCTTGGCTTGATGATAATATTACCATATATCAAGTTTGGACCAATTCGAATAATTCATTCGAGTGTTATCGTACGCATCTACCAGCCAAGGAGGCTCGACTCCAAATGTCCTAAAACGGATTTACTCCACTAAAACCTTTATTTTAATGGGGCACGTTTTGGCCATATCAAATGATATATACCCTCTGTAGTCATATGACTGAGGGCATAAAAATGGTAATCATCTGAGAGTAACAGTTCGTACATCTAAAGCATTTTTGTGGTGTGGCACATTTTCCCCTCTGTGGATACGTCAGCATGCCAGACTATCGCATATGGAGTGCGGATTATAGTTCGGTGGGTTAATTGCACCCACTTTTTCGATAGTGAGATTAGAGTCATGGACTGCGCTCTCGAGTTGGATGAACTTGAAAATTTTCCAGAAAAAAAAATTCCGAAAAGTACAACTTTAATGAAAACCATTATATGAAAACTATACGAAGACGTGAACCTTCATACAAAAATTTTTGTAGTACCTATTACGAACTTCAAATACGAAATTTGAAACGATTCCGGTAAATAATGTTGCTGAAATCATGAAAATACCGAATATCGGGCGATACCGTTATATGGGTGCTATACGAAGACGTGGACTTTTCTACAAAATTTTTTTGTCATAGGCTGTAGTACCTATTACGAACTTCAAATACGAAATGTGAAACGATTCCCGTAAATAATGTTGCTGAAATCATAAAAATACCGAATATCGGGCGGTACCGTTATATGGGTGCAATACGCAGACGTGGACCTGTATACGGATTTTTTTTTTCATAAGTTGTAGTTCCCATTAAGATCATCCAATACGAAATTTGAAACGATTCCGGTGAATAATGTTGCTGAAATCATCAAAATACCGAATATAGAGAGCTACTGTTATATGGGGGCTATACGAAGACGTGGAACATCATACAAACATTTTCTCATAGGCTGTAGTACTTATTACGAACTTTAAATATGAAATTTGAAATTATTCCGGTAAATAATGTCGTTAAAATCATGAAAATACCAACTATCGGGAGGTACCGTTATATGGGGCTACACGAAAACGTGGACCGACATGGCCCATTTACGAACTTAACCGGCCTACTGGTAAACTATGCATGTATGCAAAACGGACATCGCTAGATCGTCTTAGAATTTTACGCTGATCTAGAATATATATACTATTTAGGGTGTATTATGAATATTTCGAGGAGTTACAAACGGAACGACAAAGTTAATATACATATCAATCAATAGAATTGTGGAGGGTATAAAAACTAAAAAGTCGTGCATTTTTTATTAAAATATTAAATAATTCCAGAAATAATCCATTCCGGAAACCCGAAGTTTGACACCAGTTTTCATTAAAATACAAATGGACATTCGCTTAAAGTGATGTGTTTGTCACACACAATGATTCATAAGTGACAGAAACGTAAGGTTATCAGGAAAGATTGACACTAGCTCCGTATTTCGGAAAAAAAAAATTGTGTCCTTCCGACAACTTCTCACTTCTAATCGTTTTGAAAATATTTTTAAGTTTGAAATAAAGTCCACATTCAATTAGGGTGTGTTGGACAAATTTCGGTAAGGGTCTATAGTTCAGTTGTATTGTTTTACAACTCTCTGATTTATTATTGACCTATTCAAGAATACTTCTGAATGCCCATACCCTCAAACTTAGATTTCTCAAA